TTTGATAATTAAAGAAGGAAAGAAAAGAGATATCTATGAAAATCTTTTCAGTTTGAAGGCTTTGTACAATGCTTTTTTAACTTCCTTATTTCTGTGATCTTCATCCTGTGAGGGTTCTCTCTTGTTCTTCTACCTACCTTGCTGAAATTGTTCTTCTTCTTGTTGCTGGTATTATAGGAAGTGGGGCTTTTCTGGTTACCTTGATCTCTTACATCTACATAATTTCTACCATCCTGCGCATGCCTTCCACTGAGGGGAGGCACAAAGCTTTTTCCACCTGTGGTTCTCATTTGATTGTTGTAAGTCTTTTCTATGGGGCCACCATTGCTACCTATGCTCGTCCCACCTCTTCTTATTCAGGCATACAAGACAGAATAATTTCCATGCTATACGGGATAATCACTCCTATGCTGAACCCTATGGTCTACAGTCTGAGAAATAAGGAAGTTAAAAAAGCATTGTACAAAGCCTTCAAACTGAAAAGATTTTCATAGATATCTCTTTTCTTTCCTTCTTTAATTATCAAAAAGTGTTAAGTGTTTAAAGCATTGTTTGTTCTCTAATTTAGCCATAATATCATTGTTAAAAAAAACCCTAGATAAGCACTATGATAGCCTGCTTTTGTTCAATATTTGTAATGGTATGTAGAAAAGATCTTGGGCAAAAGACTGGGCAAAGAGAGCTGCCAAGAGAATGGTCAGATAAGAGACATCATAGCCCACAAGTGGATAGTGGGAAATGGCAAGAAGCATAGACAAGACACTCCTTTGTTTCTTGGGCCGTAAAGAAAATTGGGGTGGGGATGTATTTTCAGACTTTCAAGATTTTGTCAATATAATTAGAATTAACTCATTTAATTGTGGGTTTGTCCCATGAGGCTGACAATATTTTTCTATTTGTAAAAGAAATAAATAGTTTGGTGTAGTGATTAAGGCATCAGGTTACAAACTGAGAAGCTGTGAATTCTAGTCTGCCTTGGTACAAAGCCAGCTAGGTGGCCTTGGGCTGGTTACTTTTTTTTCAGCTCCAAGAAGAAGGCAATGCCAAATCAGTTCTGAAAAACCTTGTCAAGAAAATTGCTGGGACTTGTCCAGGCAGTCACTAAGAATCAGACATGATTGAAAGGAAGAAAAAATAATCTATAAAGGGTTGGCTGAAGCTTTTTGCTTTTGTTTTAGAACCATCCATGCCTTAATATCAGAATGCATGAAATTGTGATGTAACTGTACTTATAATGCAATGTTGCAACAGTCCAATTCTATTATCCCAAGTGACATTCTCACTTGTAGTGAGCTTCCTTCCGTCTATTGAAAAGAAGAGAATTTTAATATTTAATAATAAATGTGCTTTTTTCCCTACTCAAAATAAATGTTTGTTGTAATGTTTACGGATCCATGGTATTCTTCTATCAACTTTTAGAATTTAAATAACAACAGCTTTTAACTTAATGTCTATGGAGATTCTCAGTCATCCCAGTCATGCAAAGGTGCTTTTTTCATGAGGTAACTGGACTTTCTTGTTTTTCTTTGAGGACATTTCACTTGTTGGATGAAGGAAAGTACAGTTGCCTCTTGGAAAAAGCACTTTTGGGGCTTTTAACTTAATGCATTTTCCCCTCCTGTTCTTAATTTTCTAAGAAAATTGTGAACTACATGCAAGTGAGATTAGAATAAATTCTCACTATCTGTTAATACTCTTCTTTAGCCCCTCAAAAATTCTGATTTTGAATGGATATATTAACATCTCTTCCATCCTAGACTAACACGGTTGGTGAAAAAGTTATGGATTAACTGAGATTAATGTGCCTCTCATGTTTGAGAACTTGTAGTATAGAACTCAGCTGTTGTACTGAAATGTCTCAACTCCAGCTTCTTTCATTCCTTATTGCCTCACCGACCACCTGTGATTGTCCTCTGTAGAGACAATCTGCACGCACTGCACCTTACTCTGTTTGTGGTGATTCTACTGCCCAACTTCACCACTCTGGTAGGGAGTGGGGCTATTCATTTTTTTTCCCTCGTAAAATGTCTTTTTATTTTCCATTTTTCATTTTCATACAGTCACATATATACTGTGCATAANTGGTTGCTAAGCAAGAGTGTTGTTAAGTGAGTTTCACCACATTTTACAAGTTGGCCATGCCCACCCAGTCATATGGCTGGCAAGCCACTCCCACCCGGTCACATGGCCGGCAAGCGTCTCCTACTCGGTTACAAGCCCGGCAAGTCACTCTCACAAAACAGGCCAGATCTACAGAAGAGTTTCTAAAAAATTTTGAAACCCACCACTGGTTCAGTTCTGAGATCTCCTCTGCCAGTTCCTTCAGAACCCTGGGGTGTAATCTATCTGGTCCTGGTGATTTGAACTCATTTAGGGTAGACAGGTGCTCACTTACCATTCCATACTTCATTGGATCCCACTAGTCATCAAGACCCAACTCAAAGTATTGGTAATGACCTATAAGGTCCTATGAGACAGCATTATGTTACATTCAGTTCTACTTGCAGCTATTGAATCCACCTCTTCACAGGAAAAAAAATCCTAAGAAAACCTGTTAAGAATTACCCTCCCTACCCTGAATTGAGGAGGGGGCATGAATAAGATGATAGGCTTTCTCTGTGGCAATGCCCACACCTTGGGATTCTTAACCCCCAAAGATCTGTAATGCTCCATCTTTAATAATCTTAAGAAAACGAATTGGGAGTTGTACTATATCCCGTAGTTTGTGTCTGTGTTTCTATTGAGTCTCAATATACTTTTAATAGGTTTTTTATTTTAATGTAATTACTTTTACTTGTTTTTTTGGTCACCCCAAGTTTCTTGGCTAGATGGCTGGCCATATAAATTAGATGGATAAATGAATGAATAAGTGAGTGGATGAATGAATGAATGAACGAATGCATGTTACCATTTAGAGACATTTTTATTACACTGTGCCTTCAACTGTGCCTTATAGACATCCATCTTTATTTTTTTTTTAAAGGCTCATTTCTATTGTTGATTTTGTAATTTTAATCTGTTGCACTTTACCTAGTGCATGGTCGGTTAAGTGGGTAATATATAAAAAGCTGCAAAATAGGCATATATATACATGTCATATTATAAAAAACAATTTCTTAATCTTTATTCTTCTCCAGGCTCCTTTAACTTCTTTGTTTCTCAAAACATAGATAAGGGGGTTCAGCATGGGGATCACAACAGCATACAACACAGAAATTACTTTGTCATAATTCAGAGAATGAGAAGAGCTTGGTTGCACATACATGAAGAAGAGGGTGCCATAGAAAATCACAATAGCAGTCAGGTGAGAGGCACAGGTAGAGAAGGCTTTGTGTCTTCCGCTAGTAGAAGGTTTTCTGAAGATGGCATTGAGAATATAGATATAGGAGATGATGACTGTGAAGAGGGACCCAGTTAAATTGATAGTACTCAAGGCAAAAAGCTGGATTTCTTTTGGCTGAGTGTTAGAGCAGGATAAAGCTAGAAGTGGTGGATCATTGCAGTAAAAGTGGTTAATTAAATTTGGACCACAGAAGGATAACTGGAATGTTAATGCTGTCTGGATTATGGAGTTTACAAATCCATAGCTATAGACGCCAACTACTAAGGAAACACAGCACTTTTTGGACATAATTCTGGAATAAAGCAATGGATGACAAATAGCCACATATCGATCATAGGCCATGGCTGATAGCAAAAACAATTCAGTGGTCACCAATGCAACAAACATAAAAAATTGTATAAGACATCCAGCCCACGAAATGGTTTTCTTGTCAGCTAAAAAATCTGCTATTGCCTTGGGGGTAACAGTTGAAGAATAGCTGGCATCCAGGAAGGCCAAATGACTGAGAAAGAAGTACATTGGAGTATGTAGCTGGGGATCGATCTTGATCAACAGGATCATCCCTAGATTTGCACTCAGTGTAATGATATAAATCATCAAGAATATATTAAAGAGAACAATTTGTAATTCTGGATGATCTGTGAACCCTGAAAAGATGAATTCAGTCACCTGGGTCTGATTTTGTTTAATCATGTAGTCCTGTCCTTTTTTTCCTGCCCAGGGTTTGAAGAAAGGAAGAAGAAATCAATATTACTGTATTGTTGTTCATTAACTTTTGATGTTTACTGGTTTATTTTAAAATAAATATTTAATGTTCATTGATCTGAAAAGTGGACCTTGCACCTGTGGGAATAACATTAGGAAGATGATGATTTAAATATGCTTCATCGGAGTTTATAATTCAACCTCACTCACTTTATTATTGAACTTGAGAGTCAGTTTGCTCTAGTGTTTAAGGCATCAATCTAGAAACCAGGAGACTGTGAGTTCTAGTTCTGCCTTAACCATGAAACCCAGCTGGGTGACTTTGGGTCAATCTCTCTCTCTCTCAACCCACCTTACAGTATTGTTGGGAAATGATGCAGATGAAGGTGTGTTGGATATCTTTTCTGCTTTGAGTTATTTGTAAAAATAATAGGCACTATATAAAAACATATTAAGAAATAATACAATTTTTCTAAATCAAATAAAACTCTTTTCACATATTCATATTCCTCTCAATTGAAGACTGAAAAGAAAATGTTTGACTGGAAAAAAAAAACATTTCCAGTGTAGTCATACTGCCCTTCCCAAATCTTGTTCATTATCCTTTTTTTGTCACCCTTTTAATCGACTGTTAACACTTTCCCAGGCATATTTAATAAACTTGTCTATAGTACTCGCATCCATTCTTTCTATCTTTCCTTTGTATAAGAAATAAGTAAAAAAATGGTGAATACCATCTGCCTTTTAGGATCAACTATCAACAGTAAACTAACCGTCTAGAATTAAAATGCAGGCTATCACTTGGTAGAGCATCCCGAAGGCTTTGGAAAAGAATATACCTATAATATAACACCTGCCTATATACCTACAATATAGTACAAGCCATATTACTCTCTGTGACATTGTGTGGAATGAAAGTTGGACTTTGAAGAAACAGGATAAGAAGACTATTTGATGCTTTAATTTTGGTATTGGAAACCTGAGAATGCTATGGACAGCCACCCCCCACCCCACCAACCAATGGATTAACAAATTAACCAAGAGTTCTCATGTAAGGCACAAAAGATCAGTCTCAAATGATTGTACTCTGGTACAATCTTATGCAAAGACCTAGTTGTGTTGATAAAGCTCCAATGCTGGGAAAAATTGGCCTTCTTTACCTTGACATTGATTGCTGCCCTCCAGGACCAAAATATTTTTACAAACTCACCAGTGGAACAATGAGCAGGCGGGTTTTGTTTTTCCTTCAAATGTTCTGATGGAAGGGTAGACGAATGGATTGAACAATGTTTTAAAAAAATTAAAAGGTGAAATTGACAAGGCTGTGCTCTTTTCTCCTTCCAGGACTACATGCAATTAAAATATACAAAAGACCGATCACTAACGTTAATTTTAGCTTTTGCAAAAATGAATTATTAAAGTATTAAATTAAAAAATTTCTGAATTATTGCAGCCTTTTAAAAAACTTTTGATCATTTAAACACTACCCATATATAAGTTTCTGAAACTGGAATACATTGAATTCATCTTTAATTAGCTACCAATTGAGCAAATCAATGCTAGAAAGCAGCAACAGTGTGTGTACGCACACACACACACACACACACACACACACACACACACCTTTTTAAAAAAGTTCTGACGTTAAGGACCTACCTGACTAGTCCTTGAAGCACAGTTGTTATCAAGAATTCATATAGGAAACCGCATAATTATATACAGTATTGCAGTTGGCTTAATATTTTCTCCCTTGATAGCGGTTAAGTATGTTTACTAACAAGCAGCAACTGGAGGAAAAATGGAAACAGAAAATAGCCAGATACCATTTTCCTACAAAGCCAAGTCTCTAATGAGGTTCTCCTGTGTCTGACTTATTTTTGAAAGATCTCTGCCTAGTTCAGCAAAACAGCAGCTGCCTCCATTTTGGCTGCATGTTTGTGCGTAGAATGCAGACACTGCCAGAGTCTCATTAAATACTACTCTGTACAAAAAAGAAAAAGAAAAAAACACAGAAAATTGAATAACAGGAGATACTTTTTAAGCTTGTTTTGATCCTATCGTGCTAGAGCTGTACTTACAAGGCAGGACTTTCTGAGCTGCCAAGGTGTTCAGAAGCAAACGTTGTTCTTTGTTTTCTTTTCACATATTATTTGTTGATGTTGACAACTGCCTTTATTAGGATCAAGTAGCAGTTCAAGGAATGAATCTCTCTGAACATGAAAGTTTTACCTTTGATTCTCTTAGGAGCCATAGAAAGGCAGCTGCCTAATTAACAAAGAAGGGCAGATAAAGTGCAGTAAGATAGACAATGGCTGAAAGTTAAATCTTTTGGAGAAGACCAAATCCTATACAGCAGGCTTGTCCAATTCATGTCCTGCATGCCTGGATAGCTAGTAATGTGGCCCCACAACTTTTAACATTATTATGCAGTTTTTAGTGATTTTTTTAGTGATACCATATTATATATTTTATATGTGGCCCAAGGCCTTCACTCCTCACTTAATGAGGTCCAGGCAAGCCAAAAGGTTGGACACTCATGCTATATTCCTTAATTTCCTTAATTATCCTTAATTTCTCTTGCTAAAAGCTGGAACATTTGAGTGGTGTGGAGATAATCTCGAAAAAGGAATGCAAAAGTCTGCTCCAAAGCAATGTGAAATGAAAGCCCATGCTTACTCTATTCCATGTGAACATAGTTTTATCTATTACGTGTCTTCTTTTTTCCTTGCTTTTTTCCTTTTGCCATCCTGGTATGTTAGAAAACTGGGAGTTGCAATCATTTCTGCAGTCAAGATGTCTGATTGACTGATGGGAAAGCATCACAAAGCTTCCAGAGTTTTCATGGACCCTTCCATAAAGATTGGATTTCATTTCTTCTGGTTATATAATCCTGTTTGATTCCCATTCGGAGTATAGACAAATCCAACGCATATCCCTATAGTGGAATCATTGCATTAAGTCTGTCTCTCTTTCTTTCTGATTGCTGTGTCTTTTTATGGTCACTGAAATCTGAAGACCCAGCAGGATATTTCTGAATCTGGAATAAGCAGAACAATGCTGCTGACTTACAAAAAGTATGCTTATTTTTCAGCGCATAAAAGCATAAATGGATTTGTGGAAACATCTCTTCTTTCTATTCTTTTTCTTTTATTTCTGATAAATCAGCAGTAATTGCAGTTACCACTGTGCTAAAATGAAGGGCTTTTTTTGGGGGGGGGGGACAGAAATAGTATAAGGCATTCCAATTCATATTCAGGGCGAGATGGGAAGAAGACAAATAAAACTATTCTTTACACTTTTTAGCTGCCACCTCATAAGGATTTAATTGGAATCTATATGTTAAACTTGGTTCTTATACTCATTTAAGATCCTTGTGCTGTTGGGCATCTTGTGTGTTCTTTTCTTGGAACTCCAGTACATTAGATATGCATGTGTATATCCATATGTGAGGGGTGTGCATGAGCATTAGGCCTAAAACGGGGCATGGGGGAGTGCGGTGGCCCCCCGCATCCCATTTTTGGTCCTAGAAGGCTGCAGGGAAGCCTACTGGGCCCAAAATGGGACAGGTATGTGTGTGTGTTATATGCACATGCGTGGGGGAGTGCAAGGGGGGGCGCATGTGCATGTGCAGGGGGTTGGGCATGGAGAGTCGCATTTGCACTGCTTTTGGCACGCAAAGAGAAAATGGTTAGCCATCACTGGCATAGGATATGATGAATTGTTTCTTTTTAAAGTGATGCATACATAGTACAATTCCTCTGTGTTTAATTAAAGTAAATCGTCATTTTTAGTCTGTTTTTCCTATTTCTTTATTATATACCAGCCATCTCCTTCTCTCCCAGTATTTTTCTCTCTGTGTTCTTCTCTCAACTACATCCCCCCCCCCCAACACACACCTACCTTTCTCTCTGTTTGTGTATGTGTATGTGCAACTTTGAGTCCGTGTTGACTCTTGGCAATTGCCTGGACAATTATACCTTTCTTAATAGAATTTCAGAAATGGTTTGCCATTGTCTGCTTCCTCGGGCTGAGNACAGATGCTCACCTCCAGACTCATATGTATTTATTTCTGTGTAATTCAGCTTTGCTGGATGCCCCTTGTCCTACTGTCACTCTGCCAAAAATGCTTCTTGTCAGAGGACAAGAGAATATCCTTTATTGACTGCATGCTGCAATTCTTCTTCCTGATTTATGTGGTAGGCCCTGAATTATTATTATTTTTGCTTGCACTGATGGCTCATGACCACCATGTGGCGATAGACAGGACCTCACACTACACAAATATTATGAGTGACTATGTGCTCAATTGGCAGCTGGGACCTGGCTGACAGGCTAAACAAATACCATGGTTTTTACCCCACTGACCTTTATGTTACTTTCCTGTTGGCTCTAAAAAGTTAATTTGTTACATACTGACAACCAGTACGGTAGTTTCCACCAAGGTCCTCCGATCCGGCGGGAAAATACTCAAAGGTGATTGGCCAAGCCATCTGACAGCTCCCTATAAAAGGGCTGCTGTCAGACAAAGCGGCTGCTGGATTGAACATAGTTATTACCAATAAAGAGCTGTTGTTAACTGCCAACCCTCCAATCTAACATAATCAATATTACTGTGACATCCCTTCCATTATGACTCCCCTCCTCTTTCATGTATCTACCTGAGCTTGTCCTCCTCCTTGTGGCTGGCACTTTAGGGTGTGGTTCTTTTCTTGTTACCCTGATGTCTTACATCTTTATAATTTCATCTATCTTACGCATGCACTCTGCTGAGGGCAGGAGAAAAGCATTTTCCACTTGTGGTTCCCAATTTTCTGTTGTTTGCCTCTTCTGTTGGACCACACCAGCAGCAGTTTCAACTCATTCAAAAACCAACAAACAAAAAACCTCACACCTATTTGTTACATTTGTTTTCTACATTTCCTGTAGGAGTTGATAGCAATGTCAATAGACCTCCCCCATCTCATTTTGCTAAACAAAGCTAGCTTGTG